AAAAAAAAAAAAAAAAAAAAAAAAAAAAAAGAAAGAAAAAGAAAAAGAAAAAATGTAGCAGCTCTTGCATCTGGAGCAGAGCAGAACTGATACATTTCTGCCATGAAACTTCCTTAGCACACAGAGCTCTAAAAACTTCCACTGGAGCAGAGCAGAGCAGAGCTGTAACGCTTCGGCTGGAGCAGAATTGTTGTACTGCGGGGAAGAATTGTTGAGAGAACAGAGCAGAACTGTGACAACCCAGCTGGAGCAGAGTTGTTACACTTGCATTAGGGAAACCTTTCCTGGAGCCAGGATTGTAAAACTTGATTGGGGAATCGTCTCCCACTGGGACAGAGCTGTAGGTAATCCTTGGCTTCAGACTTCCAGGATACCTCTCCCTTCTGAGCTGTAACACTTGCAGGTATTTCTTTGCTTCCTACTGCCAGGATACCTTTCCATCCAGGGCTTTAATATTTCCATAACAGAGAGAACTTGCCTCAGGAAAAAAAATCCAGAATCAGGATGGGTATGTGACTCAGCAATAGAGCACATACCTAGCATGAATGAGGCTGAGTTTAATGTCTCACTACATGCATGTAATATGGTCGTATACACTAGCATCCTGCATCTGACCACTTCTCCCATCTTCCTGCAGGATCACCAGGCTAAGTGGTCATCATTTCCCGCTCAGGCTGTCACTTCCTCACTGCACGGCTGCTGTTCTCACCCTCACGCCACAGAACATTCTCAGAAGCACCCACAATGCTGTCAACCGTTTTCCATCTATTTTGTTCTACTGCAGCTGCTTCTCATCTAAGGGCAAAACACCAAACTCTAAAAATGTCCTAAAAGTTTCGGCACACCTGGTCCATTATCTCCATCCTCATTAAACACTCCTTGAACAATGAAGGACAACCCCAGTCACACTGGCCTCTTTGCTCCTCCATAAATCACAGAGAGTAACACATCTTTGTGCACACAGATAAACTCTGAGGAAGCCGGGGAAAGTCAAACACATCACTTAGCTCCTCAGCAGAATGAGGTTCTCAGCTGTAGATTACAATCTGGTGATCCTTTGCTGTCTGATGCGCCAGGCTCTGTCTGTATCTCCCAGAATTTATATTTTACTTATCCCATCCCTTTCCCCACTAAGACCTTGAGCATTGCTTGTAAGCCTTAAAACCCACCCTCATGAAAGATGTTACCCGTACTTTACAACAGCCTAAGTCACTTCTGTGTTATCATAGGGCCAGACCAATCCTGATACCCACACGCATGTTCATCCCAGTCAATCTCCCTAGATCCAAAATCTTGGGCACTCTCTCTGAGCCAACAGTACCTATCTTTATGAAAGAGGCCAGATGTACTTTGTAAACAATCTCAATGTAAACATGCCTTTTTAAAATTTTTCTTTTTCTAATTTATTTTATGAACATTAGTGTTTTGCCTGCATGTATATTTTTGTGTGGGAGTATTGGGTCCCATGAAACTGGCATTACAGACAGTTGTGAGCTGCCATATGGGTGCTGGAAATTGAAAAGCAGTCAGTGCTCTTAAACTCAAAACCATCTCTCCAACACCCCCCCACACACACACTTTTTTTTTTCAAGACAGATTTCTCTGTATAGCCCTGGCTTTCCTGAAATTAGCACTGAAGTCTAGGCTGGCTTTGAACTCACAGAGATCTCCTGTCTCTGCCTCCCAAGTGCTGGGATTACAGTAAGTGTGCACTACCACTGTCCAGTTTAGGTTGGGTAAGTTTAGCTGGAATGACCCGCTAGAACTGTGGGTATCACTGTCTCGTGGGCTGAGGTACTGGGTTGAATAAAATGGAGAAGGTGAGCTGAGCCCCCACGCGTTTGTCACCCCTGCTTCCTGATGTGTGGTCACCTGTGTCCTGCTCTTGCTAGAATGCCTTCCCTGCTGCAACTAATTATACCCCCAAAACTGTATCCCCAAAATAATTCTTCTTTAAGTCATTTTGGAGAAATATTTTTTCACAGATACTGGACTAAGATCTGTGACTGAACACATTTTTCCGTCTTGTACATCTAGCCATGCTCTGCAAATGCCAACTGTGAAACCCTTGGCTCTTTATGGTTTTTTTTTTTCTATTGACAATGATCTTGTGTATGTAACACTGGTCTCAAACTGAGGCTGACCTTGAACTTCTGATCCTCCTGCCTCTACCTCCCACGTGCTGGGGTTATACACATGCACCACCATGCCTGGTTTCTGCAGTGCTGGGGATTGAACCCGGGGTTCTGTGCATGCTGGGCAAGTGAGCTGCATGCCCAGCCTCCTTTGAATCTGTTTACCTCATTTCCATTGCACGGTTCCGTTCATCTCCTATCTCCTAAACTATTACAACGCCTTTTTTAGCAATCCTGTCTTCTCTCCCACCATCTCTCTCCCACTCTTCCTTTCTGAAGTTATAAATTAGAATTTCAAGACCTTCAGTGGCTCCCTCCTGTCACCCAGAGAAGAAACCATGGTCACTGCCATGGCATAGCAAGTGCCACAAGTGTTTGCTGAATGAAGAGAAAACTCTTGAGAAAATGTCAGATAGGGGCTCAAGCGTCTGGGGCAAGTTATCAAATTCCTAGCAGTGTGGGTGAAAGGTGAAAATGACTAGAACTTGTTCATGTGGTTAGAGCAACAACTAGTCAAACTGGGAATGGACTAGTTAAGGATGAGGAGAGTCGGATGACAGCAGAACTAGTTAATGCAGGAGGTGGAGGAAGATTAACTCAGCATCACAGAGGGGCAACTGGGGAAGCAATGAGTCAGGAAGGACCAACAAATGGGCGCAGAAGCTGGCCAGGTATAGGCTGGATGGATGAGGGTAAGGTTTTCCTTTCTCAGGACATAGGAGAGGAGAGAAGCCTTCTAAGCCTGTAGGAGCCCAACACCCCTTGATCTCTATCACACTCCATTGATACGGACACTTCTCATTCTCTTTCTTCTGTAGGTGCTGGATAAATGCAGCTTGAAACTACCCTTGGTCTAGACAGCCACCTTGAGTCTCTTGCCCATCCCGAGACTGGCCAGGGATCGGCAGCTCCCAGGACTGCCTCAGCTCAGCTCACCTGCTCCCAGCCACCAGCTCTTCCAGAGTCTGCTTGAGTCGTGTGCAGGCACCCAGCCTGGACCTGCGCTGCATCTTCTCAACCTCCTGCAGGCCCTGGTCCTGTGTGAGTTCCAGCAGAAGTCAGTCTTGGGGGTCCTTGACCCATACCCCACCCATTCATACCACCGGTCGGTTTCTCTAACCCTTCTGTCTCCACTCCCGTCCATCACTCCACCTACCCTTCTCCAAGCTCCCACAATTTTGTTCCCCTCAGTTTGCCTGGAAACTCTGAGCCTTGTCCACCCATGTCCTGGTCCTACACCAACAAGGTGTGAGCTCCACCCCGTTCGTGTCTATTTTGGAACCTTCCAAAGCTGAGTCTTGGGTGCCCTGTGGCTAGGCCTTTCCCTTCGGGGGCCACCTTGCTCTCACCAGCCTCTCTGCTACTTTGCACACACTGTTGCTGCAATGCAGGCGCCAAGTGTAATCCTCCCAGCGGCTCCATACAGGCAGACAAGGCTTTCGGTGATGCAGAGGCAAGCATAGGTATGGGCTGGGCCAAACAGAGAGAAGGGAGGGGTTTGGGGGCATCCTGAGTGCTTGGGGGCTTGTCTATACCCTCTGACAAGTCACTCGGATCACTCACCCATTGCCATCCACAGGCTCAGGCCACTGAGCAGGTGTCCCCAGCAACTCTTCCTCCTCCTGTCCTGACCCTCTGTCCTCAGATCCCAGGAGAGGTTGAGCTTCCAGTTTGCTATCTTGAGTTTCGACAGTCCTTGTCCTTTGGCCCAATTGTTCCTCTCTGCGTCCTGCATGACCTGACCCCGCAGAGGACCAAAAGTCAGAAGGTCAGAACTAAGGGTTAGATGCATTCCTCCTCCGCAGCCTCTCCCTCAGTAAGAGCAGAACCCACCACTATCCCTGAAGCTGACCATTCTTCCTGTAGCCTAAAGTCTGAAACAAGAGGGCCCACTCTCAATCCCATGACCTTCAATGCCCATCTAGGTCACACACCAATGGAAATCTCCAAGCTGATGGGCTGCTTGGCCAGCGAAGGATCAATCATGGTGGCCTCAAAGACCACTGCAAAAAGCAGGAAGTCTTCACAGGACGCCAGGGCATGCTAGGAACGAGAATTAGATCAGCTACCGCCCTCCCAAGGAGCAGTCTGCTCTTCACAATGCCCACAGAAAGATTCCAACTAAGGTCCTGGGGGCTCTGGGAGTGTTGTACCTCCCCCTTGGCCCCTGGTAGCTCCCCCATACATTGGTCCAGGGGACTGATTCTCCCTGGCCCACTCCCTCTATATACACCATGTATCACATCAGCACACACTTGCACATACACTAAATTCATATCCACGTCCCCAAACTGGAAACAGCATCATGATGTCTAATGCTCGGAAGGGGATTTACCGGCCCAGAGCTGAGGGGCACCAACAACCCCCACCTCTGGCAGAGGCAGCAACTCCTCCACCTCCACCTCCATTGCACTGGGAATCTCAGGGGCATCCCCACGGGCGCCGGCATCCACAGGCTGCAGAACGGCAGCCGGTGTCTCATCCTGCTTGGTTTTCTTTTTTTTCTTCTTTCCAGCGAGTCGGGATAATCTGGACCCCTGTGTGGTCTGGGGGGACTTAGGTTCAACTCTGCCTTCCAACACCTCCATGGACACAGCTACCAGAAGTCGGCCCCGGAACCAAATGCCTTCCCCAGTGCCTTCTTTGAGACTTTGAAGACCATCCCAGAGCCTGCCACTGGGGAGCGAGCCATAGAGGGGCACCCAGGCTGGACCGAAAGTGGGCTTAAACTCCGCTGTGGAGGACAAGAACAGGTTTTGGAGGGGAGAACAGGGTAAATGAAGACTGTTCTGGACTGTATACCTTTGTATCCTGGGGGGGGGGGGGGGGGGGGGGGGGGAGGGCACGGACCTGTGACAAACAGTAGCAGACCGAGGACCTCTCTGGGCTTTAGGGAGAGCTGAGGCTGGGGCGGAACTACTGATGTGGTAATTGGGGTGCTGGATGGTGGATACTGAAGCCTCAGATTTCAGTGTGGTCCTTACACAGCAAGGCTTGCCTGGAGCAGCCACTGTGTTTAAGCTTGTAAAACCAGGGGCGGGGTCGTGGTCGGAAGGAGGAGCCTGGCTTAGAACAGTTCCTTCTGGGGAGTGGATGGTTCTGCCTAGGGCGCCCGTGTTTTAAGGATGGTCTTTGTTCTGAGGGGCTGATGTGAGCTAGGGCAGATGGTGCCCCACACAGGCCAGTCATGCTCACCCGCGCGGCCAGAGTTCGAGATCTGCCTCAGGTCCAGCACGTGCGTGGCGAGGGCCACATCCACGAGCGGCGCGTCGTCACGCAGCCGAAGGCCGCGCGTTAGTGGCGGGAAGAGTTCCATAAAGCTCAACTGCTCGTTCCACTTGGGCGCCGCCTCTTCTCCACGCACCGAAGTCTCACCCTGAAGGAAAGTCGGGTGGAAGGGGTCAGTGAGAGTCCCAGAAGATGGTTTTGTAATGACCTGAGTTTGGTCCCCAGGTCCTGTATGGTTGTCCCTGCAGGTTGTCCTCTGATCTCCATACGTGTGCATGGCACTCAGCGCACCCATACACATACACAGAACAAATTATAAAGGCTGGAGAGATGGCTCGGTGGTTAGTTAAGAGCAACTGCTTTTCCAGGGAGCGGTTTTTTGTTTGTTTGTTTTTTGGTTCCTAGTCCGCACACAACCATCTGTGACTCCAGCTGCAGGGGTCTGACACCCTCTTCAGGTCTTCGTGGGCACCTGTACTCAAGTGCACAGAACACCACACAGATAGTTCTGCATGCACATAACTAAGAATAAAAATAGCCAGGCGCGGGGCTGGAGAGATGGCTCAGTGGTTAAGAGCACTGCCTGCTCTTCCAAAGGTCCTGAGTTCAATTCCCGGCAACCACATGGTGGCTCACAACCATCTGTAATGAGGCCTGGTGCCCCCTTCTGGCCTACAGGGATACACACAAATAGAATATTGTATAAATAATAAATAAATAAATATTTAAAAAAAATAGCCAGGTGCTGTAGCGCAAGCCTGTAATCCTACCAAGTAGATCTCTGAATTCCAGGCCAGGTAGGGCTACATAGCAACCATGTCTCAAAATGAGTAAATAAAGATATCTTTTCGTCTTTCTTTCTTTCCTTCTTTGTTTCTTTCTTTCTTTCTTTTTCTCTTTCTTATTCTTTCAAAACAGGGTTTCTCTGTAGCNGGCTCACAACCATCTGTAATGAGGCCTGGTGCCCCCTTCTGGCCTACAGGGATACACACAAATAGAATATTGTATAAATAATAAATAAATATTTTAAAAAAAAATAGCCAGGCGCTGTAGCGCAAGCCTGTAATCCTACCAAGTAGATCTCTGAATTCCAGGCCAGGTAGGGCTACATAGCAACCGTGTCTCAAAATGAGTAAATAAAGATATCTTTTCGTCTTTCTTTCTTTCCTTCTTTGTTTCTTTCTTTCTTTTTCTCTTTCTTATTCTTTCAAAACAGGGTTTCTCTTTAGCTTTGGTGCCTATCCTGAAACTAGCCTTTAGACCAGGCTGGCCTCGAATCCACAGAGATTGGCTCGTCTCTGCCTCCCAAGTGCTGGGATTAAAGGCGTGCGCCACCGCCGCCCAGCAAATGAAGATATCTTGAACAAATAATTTTTTTAAAAAACTTGAGGTGTGGCATAGAGGGACCGGAGTCACTTACCTGCTGTCCCAGGAAGCTCACCCGCACATAGGGGTCCAGGAGGACGTGCTGGTCATGCAGGGCACGGGCCAGACTGCCTAGCAGCCCCGTGCGCACTGTGGGAAGACCCTCTGCACGGTACACGCGTACCCGCAGGCGAGCCCATGGCCTCTCAGCCTGCACTCTACGGGGCAGGTGTAGATTCCTAGGAAGAGCCCACGCTGAGGAGTAAAGCTGAAGCCTGAGCCCCTTTGATCCTCTGAACCCACCCCCAGGCCAGGCCTCGTCCAGTTCTCCATTCCCACCGCACCCCAGCTCACTTCTCAATATCTGAACTGGTCCCCGGGCATGGGGGTGGCAGTGGGAGGGGAGGGTCCCCACGTGCCCTCACAGACAAGGTGATCTTGACGAAGCCCTTGGTCCCCGAGCGGTGTCACGGGGATCATGCAGAGGAGCCCACTTTTGATGGAAGTGCCCATCTAAGGACAGAGGGATAGAACGAGGAGTGAGTCCTTTCAGGACAATGGACAATGGCTGGGGTTTGGGCCGAAGCCGCCTGTCCCCATAGAAAGAATAGCCCGAGTATAATAGCTTGTGAGAGAGAAAGAATAGCTTGTGAAGGCCAGCCTTCACAAGAGGTGCACTAGCGACAGCACGGGTGAGTGACCGGAGTTCAGTTTCTGGAGTCTTCGTGCGTGCGTGCGTGCGTGAGTGCGTGTGTGTGACTGAGTTTGAGTGAAAGGAGGGTTCAGTACCTGGCTGGTCCAAGGCCACGCCCAGATCCATCCTGAAGGTGCCTATCCTGGTGGCCATAAACGGGAGAGTCTGCGAGTGGAAAGCCTGGGGAGAGACGAGTTAGTCCTGGTGCTTTGTTAGTCCTTACTGCCTGCCCCTTCCTTGAGTCCCACTCTATAGCCCAGGCAGAGCCTTGAACTCCTGGGGCTCTTTCTGCCTCAGCCACCTACATTTCTGCCTCAGCTGGGCATTGTCCCTTTCTTGACAAAGTCCTCTTCCCCACTCACAGTGATCTCCAGCAGCAAGTCTTGTAGGTGTAGCCGAGTCTTGTGAAATTCGAACAAGAAGTACTGGGATGAGTGAGAAAAGAGAAGGGAAGCAAGGTTAGGTGGAGGGGCTCATTCAGCTGGCCCCGAAATCGTGCAAAGAAATGCGGGTCCTTTTCCTAAAAGGTGCCTGCACACTCTTCAGTCACCGAACCGGGCGTCTTTGCACCCAGGCCCCGCCCTCTCCAGGGACGAGGTCTGTCTGGATCACCCCCCCCCCACACACACACACACCATTATCTCAGGCTCGCCCTCTTCCTTGATCGTGCTCACCTCGTTGTAGAAGGGGCAATTGGTTCCACGCTGTGTTATGGTCACGCGGCGCTGATCCCCCACGCGCACAGCCACGTAGGGGTTAATATTGACTCCCACCAGTTTCTGGGCCTCAAGTACAGTGACCCCGACCTAGGTAAGGAATGCAAAAGAGGGAGGAGAGTGAGACCTGCCTGGATAAGGGGAGAACCCTGGGAGGTTCCACGAGGCTTAGAATATGGCACAAGAGCCATACCTGGAAGTCCTGGGCTCTGCACACCTGGAAGGGATCCCCACGGGGCAGGCCCGGGGTGCGGCTGTAGAGAAGCGTAGGGTCACCGTTACTTCCCCTTCCTCACCAGCCCACCACACACGCAGTTGCCTGCTGTTGGCATGCGGTCTGCATCATGAGCTTTTGGAGTCTCAGTCCTCTCAGATTACTCTGCTCTATCTTCCTACATCCAGAGTTTGACTCAGTCTTGGAGCTCTGAACCCGTTTGCTTGCTCAGACAAAGTCGGTTGAGATCTGCTGGGTGCCAGCACTGTTCTAAGAGCTCTCACACTGACCAAACCTATCCTAATCAAATTTCTTTACAAACTGGTGGGAGCCACTATAACTGACTTTGACTATGACCATGTCTGGGCCTATAAGAGAATGACCCTTGATGCCAGAGTATCCACCTTTCCCCCATTCCCCGGTGTGGATGGGCGTGGCTTTACATGTGTGAGGGACACTGACTCACTGACAGGGCGTGAGAACACTTTACCTTTTGAGGGGGCTGAACACCACTCCAGAAATCTCCACGTCAGGCTCGTCCTCCCCCTCCAGCTCCAGCTCCAGCTCATTCTCTCCGTCATCCTGTGTTCCTAGGCTTTGAGCTAGCTTCCGGGCCAGAGCCACTGCCTGACGCTCCAGCCAGGCCTCCCCGGGCCTGATGGGAAAAGCCCTCAAAGGTCATGCCTAGCCTGTCACCTGTTGCTGGGCATCCCTTGTTTCTGCTTATTTTAGGATTGACCTTTGACCTCCAGACTGACCACCCACACACACTTATTCTGGGACTAATTCTTTTCTTTTCTTTCCTTTTCTTTGCTTTGAGACAGGATTTCTTTGTGTAACAGCCCTGGCAGTTTTGGGACTCCCTTTGTAGACCAGGCTGGCCTTGAACTCACAGAGATCCACCTGTGATTAAAGGTACATACTATCACATCATTCTAATTTCAGAACCTAAACCTACTGCAAGGATTGACCTCTGACCTTATAATTAAATCTCAGACCCTGGAACTGACTCCATGACACTGGTTCTCAACCCCTGGACTGACCCCTGTGGCTCACAGTCAGCTCCCACATACTTACTCCAACTCCTGGAAGCCCACATTGGGGATGATCAGTTCTGAGCTGGGAGGGGAAACAGAGAGGGTGAGACCTGACTGTGAGAACCCGCTCAGGGTCACAGTGCCCAGCAGACCCAGAGAGGAGGAGAATGCTCCTTTTTTTCTCTTCAGGGCCAGTTGCTTAAGTTTCTAGGAGATTACCTGTCTCGAATGGGTGTCCCAAAGTCCTCCTCTGCCCAGGTTCCAGCAGCTCCCTCAGGGGGCTGATACTTTAAGTCAAGCTCCACCTGGATCTGAAAGAGATAGGGTGTCCATGGGTCCCCTCAAACTGACATGGGGTTAAGAGAGTACCAGGACAATGCCTTACACGCCCTCTGCAAACAGAGACCCTTTGGGCAATGTCTGTAGTAATGAGTTCCTCTCTGACTACCGATAATGTCAGCATTCCCCATCTTCTGCATTTGGTAGCTGCTAGAAGAGGTTGACATGACATGACCCCTGGTAGGTCAGCTACACGCCAAGGCAGGCCCCGCTCCTAAGAGTAGTTGGGCAACGCAAACTGAACTATTGTCAGGGGATGAAAAAAAGAAAAAGAAAACTCACAGTGGGATGGGAAAGGGGGTGAGGGTGGACAGGAGAAGAGCTGGGAATGAATATGATCAAAATACAATGTATTAAGTTCTCATAGAATTAATAAAAAATATTATTTTTAAAGTATCCACAACCTTCTTGAGAACTAAGGGCAACGGTCCGGGGAGATGGCTTAGTAGTTCAAGGATGCTTGCTGGCAACCTGAGTTTGATGACCAGCACCTACACGGGGAGGAGGAGAACAGACTCCTAGAAGGTGTCTTTTAACTTCTACACATACGCTCACTCACACGTAAAAAAATAATGTTTGATTGGGTGGTGGTGGCACACACCTTTAATCCCAGCACTCAAGAAGCAGAGGCAGTTGGATCTCTGGGGTCAGAGGCCAGCCTAGTCTACAAAGTGAGTTCCAGGACAACCAGGCTACACAGAGAAACCCTGTCTCAGAAAACCAAAATAACTAACTAAATAATTTTTTTAATTTTTTATTTTTTTAAAAATAAATGTTTAAGGGACTAGAGAGATGGTTCATCTGTTAAAAGCACTGGTCTAGATTCAATTCCCAGGACAAACATGGTGACTCACAAGCCTCTATAATGGGATCTGATTTTCTCTTCTGGCATGCAGATATACATGTAGACAGGGCACTCATATACATAAAGTACATGAATAAATTAATCTTAAAAATAATGCTTAAAATAATTTTTTGAGACAACGTTTTAGTGTGGTCTGGAAGTCACTATGTAAACCAAGCTGGCCTGGAGCTCAGAGAGACCCACCTGCCTCTGCCTCTGCCTCTGCCTCTGCTAAGATTAGGGGTGTGCACTACCTCGCTCAGTTATTAATAAAAAAGGAAATAAGTGAAAGGGACTGAAGGCTGAGGATCCAGCTCAGTTGGCAGAGAACTTGCCTAGCATTCAGAAAGGCTTGGGTATTGGACTCAGCAGCACTAAAAACAAACAAATCTAAGCCTGGAAACTGTAAAACAAACACTTAATAAACAACAACAAAATCAATTTCAATGTGCAAGTTACCTCTTGAGCCTATTCTTTCTCTGTTCTTGGCCTTCACAGCTCTGCATGGCTGGTCCCTGACAACTCTTGCAGCTCCATCTCATTCTAGGTTTCTGTCCTGCTCAGCACCCCAACTAAGCCCCCCAACAGCACACAGGGATTTTACATAATCAGGCTTCTCTGTCTGAACTTTCTCTTTACTACCTAGTTAGCACCTATAACCTTCAGTTCTGAACTCAAGCATTGTTCCCCCAGAGAAACTCTTCCGACCTCCCCATCTAGGTCACAAACTGGTTATACTCTCATAGACTCTTTTTTTTTTTTTTTTTTGGATTTTCAAGACAGGGTTTCTCCGTAGGTTTTTGGTTCCTGTCCTGGAACTAGCTCTTGTAGACCAGGCTGGCCTCGAACTCTGAGATCCTCCTGCCTCTGCCTCCCGAGTGCTGGGATTAAAGGCATGGCCGGCTCTCATGGACTCTTATCTGTAGCGATATTTCTTTTGTAATCTAATAAATAAAGCTTGCCTGAAGATCAGAGTGCAGAGCTAAGCCACTAGAGACCAGGCAGTGGTGGCGCACGCCTTTAATCCCAGCACTCGAGAGACAGAGTCAGGGATCTCTGTGAGTTCAAAGAGCTACTACAAGAGCTAGTTCCAGGACAGGCTCCAAAGCTACAGAGAAACCCGGTTTCAAAAAAAAAAAAAACAAAAAACAAAACCAAAAACAAAAAAAAAAACAAAAAAAAAACTTAGAATCGGTGGTACACTTACCAGCCCTCCTGTAACACCCACCAGCCGCAAATTCACTTCTGCCTACATGGATGCTTGCTCAGTGTTGGACCCCCTGGGTTCCCCTACTGAGCTTCACAAAAGCAAATCTCTGTTTGGTTTTGCTTGCCGTTGAATCCCTATTGCTCAACATCATCCTTGAACTTAACCAATGATTGAATTTAAAAATATAAAAATAAAAACATAAGCCTGGCTCTCCATTACGTAAATGAGGAAACAGCTTAGAGGTGCTGGACTCTTCTAGGCTCTCCAGTGGGAAGTAGCAGGTCTGAGATTCAAAGCCAAGTCTACCTCTTCTAAGGAGGGGCAACCTTCCATGAAATACCAGGAAAATCCTACTGGGTACATCATTGTCCATAAGAAAAAAAAAAAGTGGGTCTACCCCAAATCCAAGGAGCAACAGTACACACCCTCTGGGACTCAGAAATAGCCTGCTGTCTGGCCCGTGTAGGATTTGGGCAGGGGCTACCGGAAGGGAGCCTAAGCTGGGGTGCTTGTTGCCCCTGCTGTCTGGCTCAAATTTTCCCCTCAGTTAAATCGAACCCTCTGTCTGGAAAAGTCCCAGGCTTGCTGATGGTGGGCTGGTGGCACTTACTGGGGACACCCGGAGTTTCTCGTCCACTAGGGCTTCCCTCAGCACCAAGTGCCCAGCACTCTGCAACTGCTGCAGGGAGATCACCAGGGTCCCAAGGGGCCTAGAAGAAAGGCATAGAGCTGAAGAGCTAACCAGGTGTTGACACCAAGCCACTCCCTGGCTTCCTCCAGCTCTGCTTACCTGGGGCTGAACACACGGCTGCAGTTGACCACCTGTACAGACAGACTCTCCCCAGCCAGTGGAGATCCATAGTGGGGCCAATGAAACAGCTGGAGACAGAGAGACACTCATAACTGAATGCTGGGCTGACCCTCGCAGAGTCTACTCCCAACAGTCCAAACATGAGGCTACCTCTAGAACTGATCTCCCAAGCCTGGAACAACCCCCACCCAACATGGAGTTGACTTCAGTCTAGGGCTGATTTGGGACTCACTGCCAATCAAGAATTAATCCCGCCAGTGTTGAGACTGACGTCTCAAACCAGGGCAGATCTTTCAAGTCTGAGATTCACACCATTTCTGGAGACCACACCTTCCAAGCCTAGGAATGACCCCTTGTGCCCCAGTATGGAGCCTCCCCCTCCCCAAAAAATGTACTGTCTTCTTTCCAGCTGGCTATACAGACCTCACCAACATCTGCTTCTCGGCCACAGTGAATTTTCCTTGTTTTCTGGGTAAAGCCTGCTCAAAAATGAAACTAGTTATTTATCAGACCCTCCATAGACACAGATCATTTACCTCATCCACCATGGGCCAGTGTCTAGTTCCCCAGCCAGCTTAAAGAAAAGTAGAAAACAGGGAAAGAAGTCGAAGCCGGGAAGGAGGGAGACAGGTTATAGGGATAGCAAGGATTTAAATTGGAGTCTAGGGAATGAAAATGCAAGGCTCCCAATTCTAAAAACCCTCAGACCATCCATGCAAGTCTCACCCCGAAAGCAGAGCTTCACTTGTCTGTCATGGATGCCGGGCAGCCCTGCTATGTGCCTCACACACACGGTCAGAGCCATGGCTGCTGAGCCTCTGGCTCTCGGTCTGCCTGCTTGCCCTTCAGCCCACCTGTGACTCACTGGGCTCACTCAGCAGGTTCAGCAATCCCTTCCCTTTAGTCAAACACACAGGGGGCAGGCCTGGAGGTCACGGGTGGGGAAGCACCGAGACCTGAGAGGTAGGGAAGGAGGTCATGGGTGGGAAGGATTGAGGGGTGGGATAAGGTCCCTGTTGTCAGCACAGAACTCTGCCTGTACCATCTGCAGGGATGGCAAGGAGCTTCAGCCTGTATCTCATTCTTTATGGGGTGGGACCTGGGACAGGGTGCGAATGAAGAAAATGAGAATCTTAGGGTGGTCCCTGCTAGCCTATGAAGCTTCAAGGACATTGCCTTGGCTTCTGTCTATGGCTGTGATAAAATGCCGCGACCATAAGTAACTGAGGGCGATGTGTTAGGGTTATCATTGCTGTGATGAAACACCATGACCAAAAGCAGTTTGGGGAGTAATTAAGAAAATTCCCAACAGGTTTGCCTAAACCCAATCTTACAGAGGCTTCCTACTCTCATATGACTTTAGCTTTTGTCAGGTTGACATAAAACTAGTCAGAACGATTGACCCTTGTCAACTTGACACACTATTGCAACAATATTTAATAATAATCTTTGTTCATCCCCAAGATCTCATATTAATAAGTAACACAATATAAAATATATTGGAAATTTAAGTCTCATGGGTTTTTGTTTGCTTGTTTTGGGGGGATTTTTTGAGACGGGGTTTCTCTGTGTAGCTCTCACTGTCCTGGAACTCACTCTGTAGACCAGGCTGGCCTTGAACTCACAGAGATCTGCCTGCCTCTGCCTCCCGAGTGCTGGGATTAGCTACCACTGCCTGGCTAAAAGTCCCACAGCTCACAGTCGCTATAAATTCAAACACTTAAAATTCAGGCATTGTAGGGGGAGACTGCTTGTTCATTCCCAACCACCCAGACCATGAAATAATCACACCGAAACTATGTTAACTGCAGTACTGTTTGGCCAATAGCTTAAGCATATTTCTAGCTAGCTCTAACATCTTAAATTAACCTATAACTATTAATCTGTGTATCTCCACATGGCTCTGGTTTACCTGCAAGGCTTGGGCATGTCCATCTTCAGTGGCTATGTGGCTCTGCCTACTCTCTCTATCTCTTTCAGCCTGGCTTTACTCTGATAAACCATTGGCCGAAAGCAGCTTCTTTATTAACCAATGGCAATAAAACATATTCACAGCATACATCATCTCCTACACCAAGGCCTTTTTAAAATATCAGTTTCTAAAAATCAAGTCTCTATAAAACTCAAAACCCTCTTTAAAAATTCAAAGTCCCTCAACTGTGGGCTACTGTAAAATAAAAAATTAATTACACTTCCTCACTTCAAGAAGGAGAAACCAGGGTACAGTCACAGTCTGAAAAAGCAAAATCAGACTTCTGGGACTCACAATCTTTTGGGTTCCTCCTAAGAGCTTGCCACAGCACAAGTAGTTTGTCTTGTAGGCTCAGGCAGGCTCCACTCCGTAACTGCTGCTGTCCTTGGTGGTCGTCCCATGGTACTGGCATTGCCAATACCATATTGTTGGGGTCTCTTGCTGCAACTGGACTGCACTTTCAGCAATAGCCTCTCTTACGCTCTCTTCATGGTACCAAGCTTCAATTCCTCTCTTTGACCCCTCCAACCCTGGGTCTGTTGCTGGGTCTGCTACTGCGGCTGTACCTTCACCAGCGAGCGTTCCTGGCCTCTCACAGCTGCTCTCCATGACCCCCTCGAGCCTTCAAAATCACTACCACCTGAGAGACTCTTACAAATAACCAAGTTCAGCTGCCAGCATGAGGTATAACCTAGGCTCCTCCTAGAACACTTCTAGTGTATTGACCCTGCAGAAATAATTCCCAGAAGATTTCAGCTCAGTAATTCTGGGCTCTTCTAATTTCTCAGTTCCAACTGACCAGTGTCAATTGTCACAGGAAAGCAATATTTTCCTATTAGAGGTTTTGGAATCTTTTTGTTAATCATAGTCAATTCTTTATCCCTAGCTTACCAGACACCACAGAGTCTTAATTCAAAATATGCAATGGCCCCAATAGAATCTTTAAGTGACTCCCAAACTTCCCTCTGGAACTTCATAAGCCAGGACTCCATTATCTATATTTCTCTCAAATTCCTATCTTCCAAGTTCCTATAGAACTATTCATCCCGTTCTGAACACCCAATGGCTGTTTTAGAACAGTGTTCCAAAGTTATTCCACAGTCCTCCGAAAAACACATGGTCAGGATTGTCAAAGCAATACCCCCGTCCACAGTACCAGTTTCTGTCTTTGTTAGGGTTAACTGCTGTTATGAACCACCTTGACACAAGGCAACTTGGGGAGGGAAGGGTTTATTTGACTTTCATATCCTAAGTCACCACTCCATAACTGTTGCTGTCCTTGATGGTCATCCCATGGTATTGGCATCCCCAAAATGTTGGGGTCTCTTGAGGGAAACCAAGGCAGGAACTCAAACTGTGTAGGAACCTGAGGCTGGAGCTTCATGCAGAGGCCATGGAAGCTCCAGTTAAGCCTGCTTTTTTTTTTTTTAATAGGACCTAGGACCACTAGTCCAGGGTTGTCCTTGCCCACAATAGACTGGCCTCCCCTCTATCAGTCACTAATTAAGGCACCCTACAGGTGTAGGCACACCTGTACACCTGCCTATACCCATATCTTATGTGGGATTTTCTCAGCTGATGAACCTTCTTCTCATATGACCCTTCTAAACCAATCTTTTCTTTTTTTGTTTTGTTTTGTTTTGTTTTTCAAGACAGGGTTTCTCTGTGGTTTTGGAGCCTGTCCTGGAACTAGCTCTTGTAGACCAGGCTGGTCTCGAACTCACAGAGATCCGCCTGCCTCTGCCTCCCAAGTGCTGGGATTAAAGGCGTGCTTTAAATCAAGAAAATGCCCTACAGGCTTGCTTACAGGCCAGTGTGACTGGGACATTTTCTCAATTGCAGTTCCTTCTTCTAAGATGACCCTAGTTTGGGTCAGGTTGACATACATAAATAAAAAAAAAATTTTTTTTTGTTGGGTTTGGGTTTTTTTGGGGGGGGGGAGTTGAGACATAGTTTCTCTGTATAGCCCTGACTGTCCTGGAACTCACTATATAATCAGACTAGCCTTTAATTAAGATATCCACCTGTGCCAGGCGGTAGTGGCGCATGCCTTTAATCCCAGCACACTTGAAAGGTAGAGGCAGATGGATCTCTGTGAGTTTGAGGCCAACCTGATCTACAGAGTGAGTTCTAGGACATGATCCAAAACTACAAGAAAACCTGTCTTGAAAAACAAGATATAAAAAATAAAAACAAAAAAGCAAAAACAAACAAACAAAAATATCCACCTGCTCCTGCCTCCCTCATGCTAGTATTAAAGGTGTGTGCCACCACACCTGGCTCAACCCTTTCTTCTGTCCTGGGGCTAAGCATGGAGCACCCAGTTGTAATTCCAATAGTTGGGAGACTGAAGCAGGAGAATTTCTCATTCAAGGTCAACTTGAGCTGCACAGTGAGACCTAGTTTCACAAAGAACAAAGATACACTGTCTGGATGAACCCCTTGTCCCCAGTATTACATTTGTCGAATTAATGAGAGTTTGAATGCATCCCTAGCCTACATATAGCAGTTGTATTTTGTACGTCTTAACCAGAAGGCATGCATGTGTAGGTCAGAAGACAGCCTGCAGAAGTGACGGTTCTTCTTCCACCACGTGGGGCCTGGCAAGCAAACGCAGGTCGTCAGTCAGGCTTGGCAAGAAGTTTTTCCTCACTGGTCCATCTCCCTGGTCCAGTTATTCCCTTCCTTTTTTTGTTTGTTTGTTTGATTTTTCAAGACAGAGTTTCTCTGTGGCGTTGGAACCTGTCCTGGAACTTGCTCTGTAGACCAAGCTCGCTGTTTTGTTTCTTGAGACAGGGTTTCTCTGTGTAGCTCTGGCTGTCCTTGAACTCACTTGTAGACCAGGCTGGCCTTGAACTCAGAGATCTACCAGCCTCTGCCTCCCAAGTGCTGAGATTAAAGATGTGCACCACCACCATCCAGACTCCCAATTATTCCTTTTAATTACTTCCTATATGCAGAACTTTTGTTGAGTTCTTACACATGGAGAGATGCAGACAAGGAAAGGTGAAATAGATGTGCTCCTAAGCCTGAAAAGAACATACCACAGTTACTTTCACAGTAGGAAAGAGTTGGGACTGGGGAATCTCTCAGGAGGGAGGACAGAAGCCCTTTGCTGAAGAGGGAGTCTTTAAAACAGGATCTAAGACAGAAACTGGGACCCATGGTCAGCATTTAGGGAGTGGGAAGGATTGGTGTGCCCTAGGACTTGTAATTTGGTCAGCTTGACTGAAATGCAAGGAATATACAGGGCAGCAATGATAGATAAGATTGGATCATCCGAAGAACTGGGTCTTGTTATACACCTCAAGCTCTATAACATGGCTCCTCCTTGAGTAAGCTTTTATGTCCCACTAATGGCATTAGGAAGAATTGGGGATGTAGCTCAGGTAGTAGAATACTTGCCTAGCATGCAGGAGGCTATAGGTTTAATCCCAAATTACTCTAACCTCAGGATTTAGGAGATGGAGGCAGAAGGATGGAAGGTTCAAGGTCATCATGACATAGTGAGTTTGAGTCAAACCTGGGCTACAGGAGATCCTGTCCCTAAAACCTAAAAACCACTCAAAACAAACAAAAAAGCTAAACAACCATCATGGAACTCCATACCTGGCAAGAAAGGTTGCTTTTTAACTTAATCTTTTTGAGAATTTCATACATGGTATTTATATCATTTCCAAAAACCCTTCCCTCTCCGACTCCTCCTGTGCCCCATCATTCCCTCTCAAAGTCATGCCCTCTTCTATACTAATTATTGCATGTGCACACACACACTACCGAGGCCATTTAGTGTAGCTCTGTGCACACGCGCTTAGGACTGACCTCTTGGGATAGCCTATCAGTATGTTTGCCTCTGGAAAACTGATTCTCCTTCTCTCAGCAGCCACTGTTTGCCTGCAGTGCTTCACCTAGAGGTGGAGCCTTAAGAAATTCCCCTAACCAGGTTGGCATGTCTGGTGATTATGTGGGCTTTGTTGAGGTGACCCTATTGTTGGGATTTCATGGGCGAAGCATCTCTGGCTCTTACAATCCTCCTGATCCTTCTTCCCATGTTTCCTAAGCCTTGGGTGTTAGGGGTCGCATTGTAGATGTGTGGGGGTCTCTGTGACCCCCAGGGCCAGCAGAGGGTCACTCAAGTGAGGCAAGAGGGATTCAACACGACTCAGTAGTTAGTTCAAACTTCTAGAGTCTCACCTGGCAAATTTCAGCAGAGCACAATTTTGAAAAAGGATTTCCTCATGGTAATTATTTCATCCCATGCATACAATAAATCTTAAGGCTTGACTCCATCAACACTCTTTGTAAAGTCCATGTGGCCTCTTCTGTATAGATGAGTTCTAGTGACTGAGAAACAATGCTCAAGAGAAGGGAAGATGACTGAGACAAACACAAGAGTCTGGAGGAGTCAGGAGTGACCTGGCCATACAGAGACCACAAAAGTCACCAGGCTATACAGCACATCCAGTCCCAGTCTTCTGGGTAGGAAGCAGGTTATACATCTCTTCCTTTGAGAGACAACACCATCGTTTAACATTCCTGGTTCCCTTATTGCTTACCTGTGAGCACAAGGACCTCTGTGTCCCCTACACACACAGGTATAATAACCTCTGGGCCGACAATACATTGTCACCCATTCTCTGGATTTTGACCAGTTGTGGATCTCTACCATAGCCTCTGTGTGCTGCAAAAAGAGCTGCTTTGGTGATGAGTGAGAGCTGCACTTCCCTGCGGGTATCAGTGCTTAGAATACAATTAGAAACTTGATTGACTGTGGAAAATGGTAACAGTAGATTCCCCTCTAGGGTCTATAATCCCTTCAGCCACGTAGAGTTGACCACGGTTACACCCAGCACGAATTCCCTCCTACTGAGCGGGTCTTCAGTCCAATTGAATAGCTATTGGTGACCCTTGAGCTAATACTGCCGCTACTGTACTACTGGGGACATTTCACCAGCTGGTCATTGTTCGGGTTCATTGGCTTTACAGTGGATAGACTGTGAAAGTAGATAGATTGATTGTTACATCATATCTCCCCATATAATAGCTGTGATACTATGAGAGCTAGGCCTTAAGGAGGGGCCTTCTGGAAAAGTTACAGCTCGATTCTTCCAAGTTCTGCATCCTAAGCATATGGTGTTTGCAGCAATAAATTCTTACCTTCAAGTTCTGGGAGGCAACCAAGGGTCACTGTTGCAGGGATGAGAGAGCTGCTTGTTGGTCCCGGCTGCCCGGCTAACTTACTCCCGAAATCATCACACAGAAATTGTATTCATTAAATCACTGCTTGGCCCATTAGCTCTAACTTCTTATTGGCTAACTCTTACATATTAATTTAACCCATTTATATTCATCTGTGTATCACCATGTGGCAGTGGCTTAGCAGCAAGGTTCATAGCGTCCTATCTCTGGCAGCTCCATGGCGCCTCTCTGACTCTGCCTCCCTATTCTCCCAGCATTCAGTTCCCTCTTCCCTGCCTACCTAAGTTCTTCCCTATCAACAGGCCAAGGCAGTTTCTTTATTCATTAATGAAAGCAACACATAGACAGAAGTACCTCCTACACCAGGCCACAGCAATAGCTTATTGTTGCTCAAATGAGAAATACTCCCC